ATATATATATGTAAAATATATACTGTACACTTATTGAAGTTTAGATCAAATGTTATTTTCAAGTATTAAAAAATTCAGGTTAATGACCGCTGCCCTATTAGTTCTTTATGCTTATCCTTTTACCATTTCATTATGGACTGACAACCCAACAGAACTTTTCAGGTGCATAGAATTATGAACTTGTGAGGTAAAAGTGTTCTAGTACTAAGTATTTGTTTTTTTTTGGCATAAATTCCAGATTTAAAACCATGTTTTACATTGTATGACTGAACTTTATCGTCTTAGGTGATTGGCAGCTCCCTTCTCTTTGTTCATGACCGTCGTGGCAGTGCCAAAGTTTGGATGATTGATTTTGGTAAAACAACTCCTGCTCCAGCGCACATTAGCCTGCGTCATGATGTGGCATGGGAGCTTGGCACGCATGAGGATGGCTACCTTCTGGGGCTGCAGAACCTCATTGACACTATTCAGGACACCATACAAATGGTGGAAGACACCAGGGAAGAGGCTGATGACAGCTCAGTGCAGGCGGGAGAGCAGAACATAGGAGAGAATGAAAAGATGATGCTGAAAGGTGAGACAGAGGTGAAAACTACAAATGGGGAAAATAATGAAGTTTCAGTGGGAGAAGATGCACTCATGATGACACCCACACAGCCTGGAAACAGAGTGCTATGATTTAACAAGGGATAAAGATCCAGCTATCTTTCATAATACTGAAATGGGGGGAATCCAATACCACTCACCAATGAAAGGACTTCTTATGACTTTTTTAGGACACGTATCTCTCTAAAGCCGACATTCCTGCCACAGGCAAAACATGAGCAGGTGAACAACTGACAGTGATAACAGGGAAAATGAGCTGATCTTCTATGAAGAGCTACTGGAAAACAAAGCACAATAATCACTGACCTGCTGCTGCTCTAATGTTATTTCACAAGAGGAAAGAACTGCAGGGTCTCCAATCTTCTGTAGTAGTGGGATGACTGCCTGGGTCTCCTCTGATGACAGTGGCATTATGCTGACATATAGAGACCCATATTAAGCAGTGCGAGGGGGCAGACAGAGTCTGCTATAGTGTTCACTTTCAGTCAAACATAAAGCAAGACAACACTTCTACAAGCCTATAAAAACTCATAAAGACTTTAAATATCACTGTGCACATGAAAGGACCATTATATATGTTGTATATATGAACAATGATGCATCATGAACACAATGTGAGAAAAGCAGCTTTTCTTTCACGCAGTTTGAACATTTCACTCTCTGCAAAATAAAACTGTATCCAATGACCCATTGTCTTCATACAAATACACACTAAGGCAGAGGTTTCAGCAGCCTTCTGTGCATGTCACTGGGAATTCTTTACATGGTTTATTTATACATATATATATATATATATATTATTTATAATTATATGGTGCTGAAAGGTGAGACAGAGGTGAAAACTACAAATGGGGAAAATAATGAAGTTTCAGTGGGAGAAGATGCACTCATGATGACACCCACACAGCCTGGAAACAGAGTGCTATGATTTAACAAGGGATAAAGATCCAGCTATCTTTCATAATACTGAAATGGGGGGAATCCAATACCACTCACCAATGAAAGGACTTCTTATGACTTTTTTAGGACACGTATCTCTCTAAAGCCGACATTCCTGCCACAGGCAAAACATGAGCAGGTGAACAACTGACAGTGATAACAGGGAAAATGAGCTGATCTTCTATGAAGAGCTACTGGAAAACAAAGCACAATAATCACTGACCTGCTGCTGCTCTAATGTTATTTCACAAGAGGAAAGAACTGCAGGGTCTCCAATCTTCTGTAGTAGTGGGATGACTGCCTGGGTCTCCTCTGATGACAGTGGCATTATGCTGACATATAGAGACCCATATTAAGCAGTGCGAGGGGGCAGACAGAGTCTGCTATAGTGTTCACTTTCAGTCAAACATAAAGCAAGACAACACTTCTACAAGCCTATAAAAACTCATAAAGACTTTAAATATCACTGTGCACATGAAAGGACCATTATATATGTTGTATATATGAACAATGATGCATCATGAACACAATGTGAGAAAAGCAGCTTTTCTTTCACGCAGTTTGAACATTTCACTCTCTGCAAAATAAAACTGTATCCAATGACCCATTGTCTTCATACAAATACACACTAAGGCAGAGGTTTCAGCAGCCTTCTGTGCATGTCACTGGGAATTCTTTACATGGTTTATTTATACATATATATATATATATATATTATTTATAATTATATGGCCTCAATCAGAAGAAAGCATTAAGGGAAGAGATAGGATTATAAAAGCCACATTCTGTGATGGATCAAGGCCTATAAGACCTGTGCTCAGAGTCCTTCCTTCCTTGGGGCAGAGAGTCTTTTGTTGTGCTGTTTCTTCATTATTAAACAGAGCGAGATTAGATTCTCTTGTAAAATAGGTTTCAGCTTAGTTCAGAGAAGACGGGTCAGCGCATCAAGGCCACAACTGCGATGGAAAGTGCTTATTATCTACTGAAGTCACTGCATGATCAGAAGATCAACAGAAAAGCTGAGCTTATCTTCAATTGTTAGGAAGATTACAAAGGGTGGAGAAATTTAAAGAAAAAAAAAAGAGACACAAAAAGGCATATGGTTTAGAATCAAGTATTTGGGTAGGGACTTTCAATGCCCAAGCTGTTATACTGTATGTTCATGCAGTGGCATACAGTGTGATTCACAGACCCAGCATATTCCAGGCAACGTCACATATTGCAGCTTTCCTTTGGCACTTTGAAGGGCAGAGAGTAGAAGGCATGGAGAGGCAAGATTGTTCAGTCTTCAATCCTGCCCTTCATCTGCTCTCCACTTAAATGAATCCTCTTTGTGAGCATCAGGCCGAATCTGGTTTCGCATGCCCCCTAGGAGATTAGATGTAGCTTCAGTGGCCACTATAAATGGCTTCACCACAGTGGGTGGGATCTGCCGAAGGACGCCGCCTACGGCACCGGTCAGGCCCTTCTGCTCATGACCACGAGATGCTACGTCACGTATAGTCTGTGCTGTGTCAATGACACCCTAAGATGAAAGAGAAAGAACAAATATTGTCACTGCCACGCGAGTTTCCCAAACACCAGTATGCCCTTTGTGTTTTGCACTCACCTCCCGTACAGTATCATAGGCCTTTGCCACACCTTCCCTGAGATCCGCTGGCTGCTGCCCTCTTCTCACTCTGCGAGACTGTTTAGAATCAAGGTAGCAGCGTGACATGGGGGGTGTCGGAGACAGGATATCATAAACAGTCTCTGCTGTGGCCTGAAATGACAAACAGTTTATACATACAATGACATGCCAACACATTTCTGAATAGTGATCCATTAGTCTGTCTCACTTCACACTTCACACCTGTATAGCTTGCACTAGCCGGTTGCTGAGTTCTAGTGCTGCAGAAGCAGTAGAGGTCCCAAAAGATGCTGCCCCCCTCTGTAAGCCACGGATAATACGTCCATCCTTCCTGTATTGTTCAATAGGTAGCCAGAAAAGATCACGAACCCCATGGACTGAAACAGAACAAGCAATGTCAGATCTGCTGGTATTACATCTTAGATTATGACACCCAGTGTACTGCCAACATAGGACACATTTTACATGGAATCATTATCACCAGTGTTGACAATCACTGAAATCACTGAAATTAGTTCAGTTATTGAAACTCTTGACACGCAAGAAAACAAGTTTTTGGATATTGGGTCAATACTGTTAAAGAGCCATTTCACTCTCAGTAATGTCCATACAGCGTCAGTTGGGGGTGTTTGCAAAGGTATCAGGGAGGCTTGGGGGGCAATTGCCACCCTGCCCCAGTCTGCCCCTGGATCAGACTAATCCAGCACGTTATTAATCGTAGTGCCCCACTCAATATGACCGCAAGCGACGGGCAAACTGAGTGGGGCAACTCAGATTAATAACGTCAGAAAGATGTGGACTGGGAGGGGGGCCTCTTTAAGACTGCTCTGACTTTAAAACTGCGGTGGCGGGGAGAAGAGAACAAGGAGCTGGACTGTCATCGTCTGTGCCCGCTTCGACTGGGCTCCTTGGCGGCCACAACAGTTTCCTCCACCCACCTCAGCTGCCATTGGTGGGAGAGAAAGACTGTCGAACTGCAGTTGGCCGGCTTCTGCTGCGCAGGAGAGAGAGCACCTGGAGCCGGCTGGAGGTGTAGGAAACCTCGCTGCTCCCCCCACCATCACCAGAAGAAGAAGAGGTCAAAGCACCTGTAAGTCCCTGTACTTTCTTTGTGACCTCTGTACTGCGTTACATACTGACCGCTGGCCTCTGTACTATGTACTGACCGCCACACCCTGATCTCTGCACTGTGCGTCACATTGCTGACCTCTGCACTGCGGGTCACATTGCTGACCTCTGCACTGCGGGTCACATTGCTGACCTCTGCACTGCGGGTCACATTGCTGACCTCTGCACTGCGGGTCACATTGCTGACCTCTGTACTGCAAGTCACATTGCTGATCTCTTCACTGCGCGTCACATTGCTGACCGATGCACTGTGCGTCACACAGCTGGCCTCTGTATTCTGCATTGCACCACTGAATTCTGTACTGTGCGTTGTTACTGATCTTTGTATTCTGCGTCACACCGCTGACCTGGCGGAGTTAAGGCCGGGGCAGGGTAGGGGTTAGGTGGGGCAACTGGTGGCGAGTAACTTTTAAGGTCTGGCTAGTAGTTTAGTACTTGAAATTTTGAGCCCTGCCATAGAAGGTCCTTTCAGTGGAAACAAGGTAAATCCGACTTCCCTGTCACTATCATAAAAATTAGGATTTACTCCCAATTCCAAGGAACCTTGTGTTAGTCTGTTTACTTCTCAGCAAAGACAACCATCTGGTCCTGAGAAATGGGGAGAGATGCCGAGCCAGATTCCATAAAGTTAATTGGCAGTGTTCCAAAGCCAGGCTATTTACTGCTGGACATTCCCGTTTAAGAGGTTTCCATTTTTTTTTGTCTGCATGTGAAAATCTCTTTTAGTATTTTGTTCTCAAATGTTACTTACACAGCTGTACAACTGAATGCATAGGTCCCACTCCTCCCAGAATTCCCGGCAGCTGGTTCTTTCGGATGTCAGTCAGCCACTCATTGAGAGCATAAGAGAAAACCTTTTCTGCTCCGAGCAGTCTGTGGAAATAGACAGAGTTGTTGCAAACAAAGATTGCAAAAAATAAATAAATATATAATGCTATAATAATGGCTTCCCTGACCTGTGTCAGGCAATCCCAAGTAATTCCCTTTTAAATTGGTGCAGGTTTGGTTTGGCCTGACTCCAGAAGTGATTACAGAGTATATGACCCCAAGCTAACTGCAGACTCAAGTGCTACAGGAAGCAAAACATTTCCTGCATGTTTCCCCGATCACTCCAAAACTAAAACCGTTGTAAACCATATTAGTACACATACACACACACAAATGTTAACATACAGCCATGTTTTACAGTCCGGCTGGGATAGAAGAACGCCTTTCCAGTAACCGTATTGCTCCAAACTCCCTTCAACACTGGTCCCATTTCTGAAGGTTAAGGCACTTGGTATCAAAATTCAGACTGGCTGAATCTGCACCTTCAGCAGAGCTCATATGACATAAAGTGATATTAAAGCTTTGTTTTTTTGTCAATATTTACCACAAGGCGGCCCACCTTTGTATGAAACTTCTGTAGTTTTTCTTTAAAAGTTTTCAATTCCTCGTTTTCTATTAGGTTCCCACAGCGCTTGCCCCCTCCATCAGCTAAGCAGCTGCTGTAAAGACACCCATGCGCGCTCGTTCCCAGCCTTGCCCGCAGTAGCCGTGTGTGTCTATGAACTGTGGCAGGCCACACCCCCCCACTCCGCCCAACAGTTTGATTGATGGCAGGAGGAGCCTATGGCTAGTCTACCATCAGTATTCCCCTCCGCAACCAGGAAGTTCGGGGAACGGAGGATCGCTTTGGGACCAGCAGCAGTGACAATTGGCGTAAGACAGGTAAGTGTGGGGAGAGAAAAAGGTAGTGGGCGGTTTTTACTCTAGTGCAGAGAATGCATTAAGGTAAAAAACGCCCAGACCTTAATACTTCATTAAGTGCTTAGGGCCTTCACGCATATGAACAGCACTGGAGCAAGCCTGAAGCCGCATTATTCACAGTAGGGTAGGTATTTCAGCTCTTCCTGTAACATCCATTCCAGCAGGACTGTTTAGACGGTGTAGACCAACATGTACAGGTCTACTTTGACTTGACCATTTTTTCCCTTTCATACAAGATTTTTTTCCTTCAGACTGCATAATTTGCTTACTACACAGGTAAGAGGACTGTGGGGAAATGACAATGCATGCTGCACCTTTACATGTGACAGTTGTCTGTGAAGTGTCTATGTTTATAGGTATTAAAAGAGAAGTAAAGCCAAACCTTTGTTTTACTAATGTACCTCTGGACTCAAAGTCAGCCGATAGGAGGCGAATGCCCACTAGTGACTGACAGGACAGAGTGGCGCCGCAGTCGAGAAGGATCCTGATCCACCCTGGCTGCCTAATTGACACCTGACTCTGACTGCTTCTCTGAGTGGGGCTGAGAACTAGAGCAGCACCAGTCCATTTATACGTCAATTCTGCTTTGAGGTAGGGCATATCAAGTGTAGGTACATCAACCAGAACATTGGTAACAAGTGACAACATATACAAGGTTTTGGCAATAATTCTTTCAGAGTCCAGTCCAGTTGATATAGCACTCGCTTACAAAACTATTCCACAATCTAAAGATTTATGGTATGTTTATGGATGGCGGCCTAGCACAGCAGAAATGAAGTTCATATATCTGTAACTGACATCCCTGTTGTTAGAACTGTTGTTATTGACTATTGCTTTGAGATGACTACTGTTAGTAATACACAGGCTTCACAAGATGACTTCATTCCTACAGAATTATAGCAATGTACAGTTATGACGGTTCCATATTCTCACCCGTGTCTGCAGTACAGCCTCTTGAGCTTTAGTTCAGAACAGTTTAATTGGGCCAGTCCTATTAATATTCCAGCAAATGTACCCTGAAATAAAACAAGTATTTCTTGAACACAGAATAACCAGCATTGCCAATATTATGAGTCAATGAGATACCAAACTGGGTAACTGGTACACATAAATACAAAGCAAAGAGAAACACTTGGAATGTGGTCATCTACAACAACCAATCTACATCAACCTTTCACTGTTCTGTCTGCTGTAAACTGCTGAAAGGTAAAATGTGAATAGCTGCTGTGAGTTCCTGCACATTACTGATCTTTGCACGGCCTTCTAATTTGTGAACTAAAGGGAATGATATGGTTTTCTCCATGGATTACCAAGTCATGTAAAACAAAGATAGCCTTCGTAAACAAAAATGACATTTTACATGGTCATATCTTTACTGAGCAAATGGTTTTCGCTGGTCAATGATAGAAGTATCGGAAACGCTGAGGCAGTGACATCTTGCAAAGTAGGAAATAATACCAAGTACTCCAATCAAATCGGTTGTTTCATCAAGGTCAGGTTCCAGTGTGATCAATCCTGCTACAGTAGCAGTTTTGTTATCTATTCTTTACAATTGTGTCGACGAGCAATGTAGCCTCATCAAAGGAGGATATTGAGGACTTCAGGTCAAGTGTTGGCGAACCACTCATGAGACTAAGGCTGGGTTCACACCTAGGCGTATCGAATATGCGCGTTTGTTGCACGTTTTGTGCCGTGCGTTTTTACCGCGATCCGCGGTAAAAAGACCGCGCAACAAACACGCATTTCCGAGGGCTACCTGGCTGTATCCCAATGGATACGCGCGGCAAATACGCCCCAAAGAAGCTCCTGTATTCTTTGGGCATAGGGCGTTTTGCAGCGCATTCCTACGCGCTGTAAAACGCCCAGGTGGGAACCATGCCCATAGGCAATCATTGGTTTTCACATGTTGAGCGTTTTACAGAGCGTAGGAACACGCTGTAAAACGCCCAGGTGTGAACCAGGCCTAAAGCAGGCAACAAGATTTGTAAAGGCGCAGGTCTCCATCACTTCACATCAGACCTGGAGAGGTTCAGCACCATTGCTGCTTTTCTTAGGGATAGCTATCCTCAATATATCTGTGCAAGGGAATGCCAGACAATCTTCCCAACTGAGAAATTGCAAGCATTTCTTGCATTTTTTTTAAACATCTGAATTCAAGAGTATCATAAGAATGAATACCAGGTTACCATGGATAGCACGTTCTCAAAGTGAAAAGGAAAAAAAAAACATTGTAATTAGTATGAGGTTAGCAAAAGACCATCTTAAAGTCCCATAAGCAATGTTCTGTGGACCCAAATATTCATTTTTTTTATGTCTACTTTCCCACCTGAGATATCCAAACTGCATGCAAAGTGTTTGCACATTTCCTGTACCTGGAAGCAGAATGTTAAAATAATCTGGCACAGTTAAAAGTGTTTTGCAAAAAAACTTTTCTGTTTGGTAGATAAGATCTTACCTAGGACCCAGCAACTGCAGCTAACAGTGTATGTTGTGTTCTTCTTCATATGTTTTTTCAGTGAGTACAATGGACTTGCTCTGTTCCTTATTGTATAAGGTGAAATGTGTGCTGTACTGTCCACTTATAGAGGAGTAGTAAGGAATAAGGAATGGAACTTGTGAAATGTGTGCTGTACTGTCCACTTATAGAGGAGTAGTAAGGAATAAGGAATGGAACTTGTGAAATGTGTGCTGTACTGTGCACTTATAGAGGAGTAGTAAGGAATAAGGAATGGAACTTGTGAAATGTGTGCTGTACTGTGCACTTATAGAGGAGTAGTAAGGAATAAGGAATGGAACTTGTGAAATGTGTGCTGTACTGTCCACTTACAGAGGAGTAGTAAGGAATAAGGAAGGGAACTTGTGAAATGTGTGCGGTACTGTCCACTTACAGAGGAGTAGTAAGGAATAAGGGAGGGAACAGCAGATTAGTGTTTTATGCTATGCAGAGTCATCTGGGCTGCAAACACACAGCATCTGGCTTACTGTGTAAAGGTGGGCGTATTAGTTTACATAGGCATGATGCCTGCTAAATGTCAATCTCTGTGAAGTGGGCATTACTGCAGTAAAGTGCTGACCTGACTCCTCCCACAAGGCAGAAGCGGGCAAGATAAAAAGGCCAGGGATGGTCATATGATCTCTTTTTATTTTCCATTTTTAAAGTCGAAAACCTTAGACAAATGTTAAAACATGAAGAAAAAAAAAAAGCCGAATGTCTATATGATATATATTTTATACGTCATCTGTATTCCCCATGTCATAGGATTAGATTTCCAATGACAACAAAAAAATACCAAACATTAGTTACTGGTTCTATTAGTTCTAGGTGTACTGGCCATTTTGTAGTATGGCCCTGCTCTCCTCCTTTCTTCTGTATGTATACAAGGCCTGGAACTCCGATTTCCCCCCCAGGTGCAAAAACACAGACCTGAAGGAAAGTTCAGGTAATTGCAGTTTATAAAACTTCTGGCCAGCTATACACCGGGCGAAAGCCGTTCCCACAGCATTTAAGGACACTAGATGGGGCCAAGGAGCACACTCGACTCCATCTGGTGGCGGGAATGCTGTGTACACAGCATTTGCCCAGTGTATGGCTAGGGGGGATTTTTTTAAATCATACCCAAAGTGTCTGCATTTTACCATTCACTTTGGTGGACCCAACAGGTTCCCATTTGACACAGGGAAAGAGCAGAGATAATTCTGCAGTTATTAAGTGAGCCAAGCTCTGCCTGCAGCACCTACTGAGACTTACCACTTGTTCTGTGGTTACATGCTTGCCTTGATAGTCTAGCCATATTGGTACCTCTGAGGTGAAGCGAAATTCTCTAAGAAAAATATATCAGATTGTGTTGTTAGTAATGGAAATTAGGTGTGTAGTAATATTTCATAGCGATTCATTATTACAGCCATTCGATACAAAATGGTGTTTATCAAACATTGTTCCCATTCTCAATAAAACTCATTATAATAAGCACTTGCCCATTCATCCCTTAACTTCCCATCCTTTACTCTTTTCCACACACTAAGATGTCTTCCAGTTTCTTCTACAGCCAATTGGGAGAGACCCTTCTCAGTAAGTCTCAGTAATGTTACCCACATTTACTCCTTTAAAACTATGGTTCTTAAAGTCTTATGTTCAGAAGAGCACAAAAAGATGTGGTACAGGTGCCGAGGACCTCAAAAAGAGTAAGACCGCCTTCATTTGTGTATTTCTGATGCAGTTAAAGTGGACCTGAATTCAAAAAGTGAAGATATGCTATGTTGTAGGGGACATCTGGAAATGTCAACTGTGCCTAAGCATTACACTGCTGAAAACTTTACCTCTTGCCTTCAAATCCTCCCTGATATGTGAGTGGGCTTAGGTACTCCTGTGGGTACATCCAAATAGCTGTATATCTGTAGTATAAGATCTAAGGTACTGCTGCCTCAGTATAAGATCTGACTGCTAGCCTCAGGAGATTTATAATTAGAATTGATGATGTCTCCTTGCTGACATAAGAAACTAAAGCCCTGCCTCCACCATGATGGCCACCTCCACAGAGAGATACACTGCAGAGCAAGGCATGGCAAGTCAGTAATGAGGAAAAGGTGCAGGGAAACTACTGGCAGTATTGGTGAACAGTCATTTGCCCTATGCTTGCCTTTTCTTTTTTTAGGCACAGCTTCCAGAGTTTAGTTGCTTTTTAAACCCATCCAAAACTAGATACTAAATGCATTATAAGATCGGATTCATAGAATAGTTATTCTTTCTTTTTTTTATAGCCTTGGTGCTGAAAAATACACGGGCTAGAACACGGCTTTGGACCGGAGTCTAAATTCCATACGTTTTTTTTTTTAAACATCAAATAAAATGAGTTGCAACCAGTTCAACTATCTTACACAAACGTTCCAAAACGTATTAGCGTTATACATGTTAAATAAACAGCATATACAAAAATATAGAATTTTTTTTTTAACAAAGGTCACAATGCATCATTCCAGCAAAGTACTAAAGTGCAAGTTCTCTACTAAAACTGATCTTAAGGTAGAACCTGTTTTGACATCAACCTCCAGTAATCTACACAGCGGCATTTTAACTTGAAAAATGGGAGACACCAGTCAGATTCTACTGCATTGCAAATTGTTGTCAATCAAATACTGAAAGAGCAGAATGATGGCCTCTTCAGTCTACTGCTTCTCCTCTACTGCCTGCTCATAGGATGGGGTGGGTCACACAGTGCAGAGTACCCATAAAAAAGCATAGGAATCTCTGGTAAACTGGAAAGATGGGGACATGCAGGTACACTTATTTGATGTCCATAGAGGCAAGAAAGTCTCCCTTATGACGGAAAGCTATGACAGACATGGTGGGTTCCATGCACAATTTCAGAGCCTGAATAAAACCATTCAGTGTTTTGAGAACCAAGATGGGGTGAATCTTTATCTTTTGTATTAATTTGTGCACATATATGTTTTAATATGCTGTATATTATTAGAATGATAGATACTGAGTGCCATCAGAACTATAGTTGTGGGTAGAGCGCTGCATATGTTCACCTAATGGCTGGAACAGCTCATTGTACTATGCAGTAAGTAACCATAACTAAAGAGAATCACATTAAGCCATAGTGCAGTGTTTTCACTATCACACTATGTGCCTGAGACACGCTTGAATGCCTGAAAAACCAGTTTGAGAACCACTGCTTTAAAAAACACTCTAATTTTTGTTTTAGCTTTGCACTGCCCATGATTAATGCTCTCTTGTAATACAATTCATAGTCTCTCCTAGTGATCAGCTGCTTTACTTAACTACATTTGTATTTCCCATAGTTTTTCCTGTTGCTCGGGGTTCACTATACCTGAAATAAATGGGTTGATCAGATGTTGAGCTCACAGATGATGTGTCCTCCTCATTTGAATCCAATGAGTTTTCCAGTCCTGATTCACACTCTGAGGCACTTTGCTTGTTATGGCTGTCTGAACGTGAAGCTGCAGATAGAGGAAGCCTTTGTAAGAGTTGGCCTAACTTCAAGGATTTGTTGATTATATAAAGTATTTCCTATAATACCCACCATCTGAACCTAGATCCATGGGAACCACCGGTTGAATACCAGAGGCCAAACTGGTAAAGAAGTCTTTCAGGAAAAAGACAGCATCCTGAAGCAACAAAATAAAGGTAATGGCAAGGAAGACAATGTAAAAGGCCAAGTATAGAATGCTAGATAAGTTGTAGTAGTGTACTATGTATGAAGACCAATATAAGAAAAAAGAATATTACAATTACCTGATCAATGTTCAGGCGAAGGGGCATTAAGGACATTCGAAGGCAACACTCAGGTCCGCCCAAGCCAGCCTCAGGATGTACGTGGAGGGCTTTAATGGTGAGCTTCAGAGGGAATGTCAGAATTAGAGGTGATTAAAAAAATATCAAACCAGCATTTGGAAATTGGAAAGGTAAAAGATAACATCTAAAATGTGCTGATTTCAAGTAACCAAATAATGGTCTGCTAAAAATGCATTCTTTCTCTAAACAAAAAAACATGCACAGATAAAGGTCAAGGACAAGAACAGATATAGCAAAGGACATGAACAGATATAGCAAAGGACATGAACAGATATAGCAAAGGACATGAACAGATATAGCAAAGGACATGAACAGATATAGCAAAGGACATGAACAGATATGGCAAAAACACATTACAAACACAACCTAACAACAGGACGTGAACTATTATTGGGCTATGTAGGAGTAATCCTGTATGGAGAAAAACATGTGGACCCATAACAAAAATACTAGATGCCTGGTTGTCATACTAATCTAATGGCTTCTATTCTTTCTGAGATATGGACCTATAATAAGAAGGCCCATCAAGAGTTCTGACATCACTTGATGCATATTCACTTTGGGTCAGCAACTTGAAAGTGTTGTTTTTTGGCACCATTGCTCCTGGTGAGCCTAACCAACCTAAACCAACATCTGGTAGAGGTGACTTCCAAGTTCAAACATATTTAGAGTTTCTACAGTAAAAAACGAAATACTGAATAAACTGTCTGGGATTTGGTTATCCTTAAAGAGTATGAAAAATCAAAATTTTTGTTGTTGTTGTTTTAGTTTTGGATAAAATAAAACCCCCATCACATTATTTTTTCCATTTCTGTTCTATTTGGGATAGTTCCCTTCGCATTAGGTTTCACAGACGCATCAGGAAGTCAGAGAAAAACTCCGCCAGAGTGAAGGGAATTAAAAAGTTGTCACTATAACAGATGTACCATTTGGAAGCTTTACTTTCAACTCCTGTTCAGGTGACAACTCTCTAACCACATCTAAACAACAGAGGAAAATCACCTTGAGATGTACTGGGGTAGCACAGGGGGATGGAAGCACAATGTCCTGGTTAATGTAAAACGAAGGGACTACTTTAGGAAGAAAGAAAGCTCTAGACTTTAAGACAACCTTGTTTTTGTGTAGAACAAGACAAGGCTGTTTACAAGACAAGGCTGCCAACACAGACCTGTCCCTTGATGGTACATGGGGCTAAATGTTGATCTGGACAAGATTGGAGAAAGGTTTCATCCTATGGAGTATTTACTGGGATTACATTTTCTTGCTTGGCACCAGGCAAAGTATTCCTTCCAAGTAAGACGGAAGACCTTGCGGAATGTGGATTTTGTAGCTTTAAGAAGCATAGGAATAACCGAATTAGTGAGGCGCATGTGACTGTCTAGAAACTGCACCTTCTTGTCTCACAGTCAGGATGTTGAGTTGAAAAGGTCTAGAGTGAAACTGGACAAATGGAACTACCTTAAATAAGGCTACCGGCAAACCCAGAGTCTAACATGGCCGTAGAAAATTCCTCCCTGGATAACGTAGATGAGGGTGCTAGGGAAGACTCAGAGAAGGGTGCAGACTCAAGTAATGGACACTGAGCCAGCCTGCCAGTGTCAGGTCTTTAAAGCAGAACTCTGCAATCGCTGTTGGCCAGTTACCCAGTAGGCAGCGGTATAACCCAATCATTTTAGAATTCTACTGATCCTGTGTTCTTTAACCACTTCAAGACCAGGTGTTTAGACCCCCTTCCTGGCCAGGCCATTTTTCAGTATTCAGCGCTGCGATACTTTGACTGACGTTTATTTGATCGTCGCTAAATACAAGCGATCCGCCGGCTTTACAGCCGGCGGATCGCATGTATATTAACGGGCATCGCTGCCCGTTTTTAAATTGCGGCCATTTCCGGCGCGCGCAAGGGGGCGTGTCTGAACGGACGTCTAAAGACGCCCGCTCAGATCTAGAGAACTCCTGGCCGGCCGTTTTTTTACTACGGCCGGCCCGGAGGCAGTTAATGAACGATAAAGAAAAAAAGCTTGGTCATTACATATACTTTTATTGACCGAGCTAAACTTTCCACCATTATTCTAAATCTTCTTACAGTAGACTTTGTATATTTTTATTTATTTGACATGTGGCAGAAGTGCACTAAACCGATAAAGAAAAGTTAATGCATATGTGAAAAATAAAATGGTGGCAAACTTTGCCAAATTGGAAAACCTATCCATGGTTTCTCTTGGTGCAGAGGATCTCAGCAGAAAGGAATTTGCTCACAATAGGGAGGGCTAAGGTCAGGGGAGGTTTAGTGTTTGGTTTCGAGGGTTAGATTAAGGTTTAGGATTCCACGCAGGGATAGTGTTACAGGGAGGGTTAGTGTTAGGGTTACAGGGAGGGTTAGTGTACAGGTTACAGGGAGGGTTAGTGTACGGGTTACAGGGAGGGTTACAGGGAGGGTTAGTGTACAGGTTACAGGGAGGGTTAGTGATGGGGTTACAGAGAGTATGGTGTGTGGGATGCAGTCACGATTAAGATAAGGGTTAGAAGGAGGCATACAGTAAGGATTAGTGTTAGGGTTACAGGAAGGGTTAATGAACAGCCAGCTATTGAGTCCATCAATATTTACAAACTTTCAGCTGCATTAGTTGTTATTTCATGTTTGTGCAAATTTACAATAAAAATACAAACAAATTGCCTGCTAGGGATGTAAATGATTAAATTAGTTTCTTGTGGAACATTTCTAATGCCTCATCAAGTTACACCTGTCCTTAATGTAGCCATCTATTAGTCTGGTCTTACCATGTTGGAGTGCGCCCTCCGAGGCATTTTTTCACTGGTGTACAAGTACAGAAACTTGTTGATGTGGGATGAAGCCAGTCTATCTCTAATCTCCAACTCCTGGACTATAAACACTTGACGTGCAAGGGGGGATTCTGCCCCCTCACCTGCTTGGAGCTTCTCTGTCCCTTGGCTGGAGGGAGCAGAGTATGATTCATGCTGGAAACTCACCTTAAAAAAAAGGGAATAATATAGCCATGAGCTGGTTACGCAAACATTTAAAATCTCAAATTCTTAAACTGTACCCTTGCAATGACCTTTATGAATAAGTTCTTAATAAAAAAAGTAATGTTATGTCAAGAAAAAAATAGAACAATATAAAGGTTCACAAAAGTCAAATGGAAAGGTGTTTGCTATTGGTTTTTAGTTTAACTCCACTTTAAGGAAAAGCTTCTCATCCGGTGCTGGAGACCCCCACCACTTGACTCATGGAAGCAGTGCATGGAGCTAGGCCAGGCACACCACTGTGCTCACTACAAAGGTATGCTGTGGCTATGAGCTAGCACATCTGAGAGTCAATCAATGGCAATGTCTGTTATGACTGACAACAGCTATCCTGACAGGAGTGGAAAAGTGGATCACATTTCAATTTTAAGCAGCCTAACGCGGTCAGTACAAGTTGGGTGCCAATTATTTCTATGGCTTAATGTACTTTACTGCATTCTACATATTGGGTAGACCCAATAATATGCCTATACAATGTCCAAAAACATGTCCAGTGCAGTGGCATTACTATAGCCACGGCAGATCATGCAACTGCTATAGGGCCCAGGAGCAGAGGGGATCCAACACGCGCTGGCTACGTAGTAATTTAAGCAGTTAGCAAGAGAATTTAGCAAATGCATTTGGATAATAGATATGGATAAAATATGTACCGTTTCAGAGCTTCTACACCCTTTCTATGAAAGTAAATAGTATTCTGTATCACTAGAAGGATAGCCTTTCAGATGGAGATTAGAGAGGCAGAGGAGCCTTAATATCAGACTCATTTGACAGCAGCTCCTCAGTAGGCTCTCAGATTGATTATACTTTTTGCTATCCAGAGTTCCACACAGTTATAACCCCAGAGAGAAGCTGCTATTCAGTGGTGGTATTTTAATTGGTATCAAATAGCCAATCACTGCAATCAATTATAACAATGTTCCATCATATCAGTTTATCATTGATATGATCTCTTATCACCATAAAGACCTGAAGCCCTAAGGATAACGCTTACTTTGGTCAGCTGGATCTCCATTAATATGTCATGGACCCTGCCACTTCCTCCCTGGGTCCTCCATGTGTTCTGAGGACGGTTGGTAACAGAAGATCGGGAAGGGGAACCACGGGCATTTGGCATGCTTGCTCTTGATCTGTGAAATCCAGTGAGAAAAAGGCAAAACATGTAACAAAAGACAACCAAATAACTTTTTCTGCAGCTCAAATCACTGGAAATGTATTTTTTTCAATTATGTCACTCAAAGTCTATATCATCTTTTCAAACAAATTTTATTCGGCAAGGTAAAACCAAGATACCAGAGTCTGTAAATAATATGAACTATTTTGTCACAAATTGCTTGTTGCTATGGGGATCTGCCTATAGCTAAACGGACTGGTTCACAGAAATGCAAAATTATGAATTCCTGCACGGCAAAATAATCAAATCTGGGTATGGGTACACCCACTAAGAATAATGGATCAGGGAGGGATCTGTACACATACAAGGCCATGCAGTATGCAAAAAGTGGAAGTTTTTTTTAACTTTGGCTACAGAGTTTTGTATTAAAGCAGAACCCCTGAAAATATTGAAGCTATTAGGCCAGCATAACAGCCAGCCCATTATCATTTGCAAAAGAAGATCAATGGTAGCAATAACCCACCCCATATTTCTCTCATGAGAGGTTTCCTTTAATCCTTTTGCTGTCAGGTCTTGCCCACCAATTTTAACCTCAGTTTAACCTAATTTTTCACATATGACCGATAAAATAAAAACATGGTGATTATGATTTTGTAGGTTCCACAACAGTTGTGTATGAAAACACTGTTTTCGATAGAAATACACTAAATCATTAGTAACGCACACAAAAACTGCATAACTTACAATATTCCTACTAATTCTAAAGATAAAACCACACTGAGTCAATGAATTCCAAATATGTGTAATTTTTAAATTGTGCCTTTTTGCAAAATATCTCGCACTCGCTAACTCTGTACAGAGCACTTACTGTTCATTCATAAACTGAGGAGATAGTAAACATTTATTCAAGATTATGAATGAATGGCTGTGATCGGCAGATTATCAGCCGATGAGAATAGCTCCTCCATTTACTCAGAAGACTTTGGGGGGCCCTTCCATTATAAGTTCATGGTGGGTGAAGGGACCATGAACTTATAGGAGAAGGAAGAATGCAGCCAACGTAAGGCATACTCCCCTGGCCAGCTGGAAGCGGTTGTGTTCTGCCGTAAGCATTACATTGGTGGCAGGGAAAGGGTTATGCCATGGGCTTATACTTGAACACACCAACACCCTGACTTTTCAGTTTTGGAAGGCTTTGACTTCAAAGCTGCAAGTTAGTTTTGCATTTTCCTCACCTTGGTGACTGTGCCCTGGCAGAGTTGGGTCGACTGCTGCCAAAATCCTTTCCCCCATACAAGTGCCACACCACAGAGATCTCTCTCAGAACTATACGGGTTTCTGGCACAGGGAAGTTCGCTGGAGGTTTCAGCAAGTCAGTGCTGCCAATAGGTCTAGAAAAATGTCCATCCTTTACCAAAATGGGGCTGTCCACTAACTTTCTTACCACCGGCTCTCCATCTTTAGGCTGAATAGTAGAATACAAAAAAATGATGCATTAAAAACAACATACTTTGACATATTCTGTAACCAAATGGATACTACTACATACTGAAGTATGCAAGCATGATTAATAGGATGATCCATAGAAGCAAATTTTGCCCAAAAGAAAAAAGTTGAAGAACATTAGCACCATCAGAAAGTTAGAAGAAGTTG